CACATTCGCGAAACGTTCGCGCCATTTACTGGTGATTTCCCCGGGGTGGCGTCAGCGGCGCTGCAGGTCGTTGTTTGCTAGTCTGTGACAGTGGGGACAGGAACCGGAGAATCCTGTACGCACTGCGAGGGCGAGGGCTGGGCAAGGAAATGTTGAGGCTTCAGTTCGTTAGTCTGTGACAATGGGGACATATGGGGACACTTCCGCCCACCGGCTCTGCCGGAGGAATGCCTTGTATTTCCACCATTTGTCGGTCGGTAGAACTAAGGAAAACATATGAAAGCGAAGACCTTCGATAAATCTATCGCGGAGAAAACAATACTTTGGCGAACCCCATCGTGAATCTTTTGCGGAAGGTTTGAACAACATCTGAAAGGCTGCTTTACACACAACTCCTTACACGGGGTTTTAGATTTATTGACTATTACAGTATGTAATTAATATCTTTTGTGATTTCTTCATATCCACCGCATTTAGCCCTATGTAGACGGCTTCTACGTTTATCTATGCACACATGTTTTACATAACATGGAGTCCTGCAGGCCACCAGCGTTTCATAAACACATAATGGTGCTTCCATCATAGTCTAAGATTGTCCGTCAAAGTGCAAGCCCAAAAAGGATTCACAGAGATTAGCGCACTGGGCACCCTGGCGCATCTGGCAAGCTCCAATAGATATTCAGGGCTTGTTGCCTGGCAACACCGCTGCGATTTGAGAAGCTGGAAACCCCACTGCCTCTTCCCAATGACCGTGCTCCGACTCCCACCAATTCAATAGCAAAGGGCAGCATGACTCTATTGTGCTCATCATGACCCACCAACTCACAGAACTCAGCCCCCAGCAAGGTTCCAATCGCCATCTCAGTACCTTAGATCACTTGGATCCCACTAGTGGTCAATCATTCTGAGGGAGAAACGCTCTGGATCACCACTTGATTGGGACACATTCTCAAAAGGGCCCGGCCCGCGGAAAAAAACAATGCGAGTGGTTCCCAGCTGCAGGATTGGCAGCAGAATCCGGTCGAATCATGTTGAGTCTAGCCTACCGAGTGGACGGATCTCATCTGCCGGACGATCCTGCATGGCGGGTCGAGTAACTCCCAGCATCACGGAGCGCTCGGAAGCATTGGTACAAAGCCAATGCCTGCAGTCGAATCAGTTGGCGCAAAGCAGCGTCCAGGACGATCGTCTCAAATCACGAGGCAGCACACGTTCTTCCTGCTACGTCATGCTACGTCTACATCTGAATCCTTCTGGTCCGCATGAAGCTGGTAGGCCTCCCCCTCCAAGTCTGCAGAGGCCCGGCGTTCCCCAGCCAAGGTGGAAAGTTGCACATAAGCCTTCACAAAAGTGCATCCAAGATCATCCAAGGCAAACAGGAAGCAACAAATGAAACATAAAATAACATAAGTATAACATGAGCGGCTGTCTGTGTGCGGGCTGGTTTTATGAAGACCGAAGCGCACGGGCAACGGAAAATGTTCAGGGCGATGTGTCCAACAATGTCCAACAAACATCGAACGGACAATGAGATTTGGCTCTGAAGAAACCCCCCCTCTGACCTCTTGGAGCCTTCCGCTGGCCATGAGCGCATCAGCACGTAAAAGCCGTGCAGTGATTTCACCTTGTACCTGAACGGTTCTGCCACTGTAACAAATCGCGCAATTCAAGTTCATTGACAGAAACATCATGTGCTGATAATGTGATCAGAACCCTCAAGCCATCTGACTCCATCTGAAACACATGTATTTCCCACCACTAAGCTCACACACGTCATGAAGCTCCACACTGATCTCTTGAGCCTGCACAAAGGACGGAACTTGACGGAACGCATGTCCGTTTAATGCTCTGCTCTGCTCGTCGTGCATGGCGTCGGAGCCTCGTGTGCTTCCCGAGATGCTGCGGCCCAGCTTTTCGGGTCACGATCAGCTAGGTGCGCCCTGGCGCGCGTTGACGATCAAGGGCTTTGGAGCTGACACAAGCTGCCGCGGTGAATCCACGAGCAGCTTTGATATGGCCTTTGCCAGCGAGGCTATGGGTATCTATGGGTGGCAATGCAGGAGGTGATGCTTGAAATATCTGGTCGGCTCAAGCCATCTGACAGCCTGTTCCTAAACTCTCTCGAACACATGAGCAAAGGGAAAGTAAGCAATTCTCAAAACATTGGAAAACTGAAGCTCTCATCGCCATTGGCCGACCATGCGACGTGGGGCAACCCGGCCTGGCTGATGCACAAAGTCCCATGGCCAATTGCCGTCGGCCGGCAGCACTCAGCTGGCGACACACGCCTAAAGCCTCGGCAAAGGTCGCATGGTGCGGGATGTTGTTCATTCACTATCATGATACCAAGTGGTAACATGGGGGAAGTCCGGACTTGATGAACTCTATTATCATCTATTATCTGAGACAAGGTCTACCAGAAGTGAATAGAAGTAAAAATAGTCAAGTACGTGAGACATCTCGAGACATCTCGAGACATCTCGAGACTAAGATTCTAGCCGCATCTGCTGCCTTTCGTGCTTGAGACCTCAAAAGGATGGCAACGCCAGGTTGTAGTATGAGGTCTTAATCGCTCAGACCGAGAACGAGCGAAACGTCGGCGTAGAAAGATTGAAATGTTTGTTCTTTTCTGCCGACGTCGCACCTCCGGCCCAAATGAGGATATTAAAAGCCCAAAGTTGAGCGCTGCTGACCGCAGTGTTCAAGATCGCACCGATGCAGCGAGCTATTGTGCAAAGAAGGTGTGTCTTGAAATGCTTCGAAGTCCTCGGGTGCCTGTGAGGAACGCTCTTAAACTTTAGAGTTGGTGAAGAAGGCCAAACCGTGCAGCATTGCCTGAATCCCCGATGTCTGCTTAGGTTGTGCGAGCCTTTGTGCAGCTTCAGTGCGACATTCGTATGACATTGACATACAGGACACAAAGAACTCTCTCCCCCTCCCTCTCTCTCTCTCTCTGCGCACATCCGCACTCCCTATTCACATGTGAGCGCTGCACAAGCGCCCAGTATCCAAATGCACGGCGACTCCTGCGATGAGCCTGGAAACTTTGGACCCACACTTGCAAACCAAACGCATTTCCACAAACACAAATGCAAAGAAATTCAAGCTGCAGAGCTATTGAACCCTGGTTCAACTCACAGGCAAATTGTGCAAGAGCAAGTCTATATAAGTCCATATAGAACAGTGGTTGAGTTGATGAGTCCGTTTTGGGAAACCGTGTGCAGTCAGGGGAAACCGTCGCACTACTTCATCTCTCCCAGCGTCTCGGAATCCCGGCATTTCGGCCAAAGACATTTGCTCGTTGGACTTTCGAAAGCGTACGGCTGCCTGCCGAGTTCCAGCTCGAAGAGGTCACGTTTCTGGACGAATGACTTGAGTCCAGAAAAAGCGGAATTCGTCGATTTGTCCTTCCCTCCTGCACGGATGAAACATGATGAAACCATCCCGATTTGCAATGCTTAATGATTCTCACATGACTCACATGGCACTTATATACATCGATACTTTTAGGCTGAGTGGTTGCGGCCAATTGAATCAGGCTCTATAGAGACCAATGAGCAACTTGCCTGTGATAGACAGCGAGAAACGCCTATATTATCTATATTCATCTATATTCTACAAAAACTAGTTAGATCTAAAAATACATGGCATGAGCTGTGGGGCGCAATGTCGCTTAATCTTGAACCCCAAACCCTTGCATCAAGAGAGCGTTTTCCACGGACATGACACATAGGCCAGAACGGAAATGACATGCCAGTCCTTCGCTTGAAAATGCATGGAAAACCGTCTGGCCTCCATCAGGACTTGTAAGGCCTCCTCATGCTCATTGGCAGAAACCTGGCAACCAGCAGCTGCAAAGGTTGACCCACACACAAGTGACGGACTCGGAACATGAAATATCATGAAACATGTCGGCCAAACATGCTGATCGGCCAAAACCGTCAACCTCAGATCCAGTGCGGGTAGCTTGTGGAAAACCCAAGAAACGGGACACATTCGCGAAAGACACGGGACACATTTGACATGGGTGCCCAAAAAACCAACAGAGCTGAGCCGGGTCTAGGACTGACACTGGTTCATGCGCTGAGCCCGAAACGCCTTGCATTCACCTGAGACGTCACCCTCTCGACGATAAATGGAGGACGCCTGCGAAGCCAAGTGAAGCGCAGGCATCTTGCATGGGATATCCGCGAGACGGGATGAGGTACTGCAGGATACTGCAGTACCTTTCCCATCCAAATTCCCATGCCTGCCTGCTTTGCGGCTAACTGGGCCACGTCCTGAGTCAGCGAACGCTGATGACCAATTTGCTGTCCCGAAATGCAACAGTTGAATAGATCTATATTACGTAAATAAAAATGTATACGTACATGAAATGCATGTATGTACTGTTGATGGTCTTGGGAATCTCAGGAGGTGCAGAATTGCTGGCCTCAAGAGTATCGTTGATAAATACCAAGCATGACTTGGGACCTGGGACGGGATTTGGCCAAATGTCCAACATGTGAATTTTGAGGCAAACACCGGCTCTCCCTTGAGCATCTCAACTTTGGCAACCTCACCATATCTTGCGAAATGGACTGGACACACAAAACATCACAAAACTGTGTTTGAGCATTCTCCTGGAAAAGCAAACAAACAAACATGCAACAATGTTTATCCTTGGTCAACGGCAATCTGGAGCAAAACCCGTGCTTCACCCTGACTGTCCTGACCAAGACAAGAAACACGGGCTACAACTTGTTTGGCATGGCTTTTCCCAATCTTCTACGCAGCACAAAGCACCCCAAAGCCATTGTCAAGCAGAACCCATCCTTCAGGCGCTTGAACATGGACTCTGCGGTCTTTCCTGCCTCAGTAGCTTCCTGAACCTGAACTGCGTACATGGTCATTCGAGGGAAGGTGAGACTCCGTCTGGCAGGGTCGTCTTGGATGATTCGTCACGTTTTCACCCATGTGGGACATGGAGATGAGCTTAAGGAATTAAGGAACATCTTGACACTATTCTATTCAACATCTCTTACCAATTTTGTGACCTTTGCATGCTGCGACTCTGTAGTCTCATTCTCTACCCACCGCAGCAGCGAGCTCGGCCAAACGCCTCATCCAAATTGATGCAAAGCTCCGCAATCTCACAGAGGGAATTTGCCACCTGCAAGTTTCTGGACGCTACTAGGAGCAACGCTATTAGGGGCTCCTGGCATCGCTGCTAGGAGCAAGGACGCTATTAGGGGCTCCTGGCATCGCTACTGGTAACAAGAAGCTCTCCTGGCCTTACTACTAGGAACAAGGACGCTAAGGGAATTTGCCACCTGCAAGTTTCTGGACTCCCTGTAGGCGTTTTGTCTCTCACATCACATGACGAAGCATGATGAGACAGCATGGCCCAGCAATCTTCGACCTGCCTTAATTCACCCCGTTGCTTTATAATTTGTATATTGCCCCAGTGGGGAACCTCTTCATTGATGACTACACCGAAACTCCTACCACTGGGTGTGTTTTGTGGGAGTTTTTTGGTGCGAGGTGAGCCTCTGGGACATCTGCATAAGGTTCGCGCGAGGTCTGTGTAAGCCACATGATAGTGCAAAGCAACCCAGCAACCCAGCAAAGCCATTGCTAGTGTGTGAGTTGCAACCCCAAAATGCCTCACTGCAACTGCCCCAGTCAGCAAACCCGGCGCACATTCGATTTGCAGCCCTCAGTCGTGTTCGCAACTACGCTTCCACGAGCCAGCTGAACAGAAATGCGATCAGCATGGTGTGTGCTGCAACGACCCCGCACCCACTAACCAAATCCCACCCAAGTCTACGAAACACGCTAATGGATATCTGTGCATGTGCAAATCACCCTGTCCAGAACCAAACTGCAAGGGCACAACATTTCAAGGAAACTTTACTCATCTTTACTCAAGCCCATGAGACTTAACACACTTACTCAGAATCACAGGTTCCTTGCGTTGGTCGAGCCTACTAGCGCGATGGGGGGTGGAGGGGTGGGTGGAGGGTACAAATTTGTAGTCTCATTCGCGTTGGTTTGTAATCTAATTCGTGCATTTTGTGAATAATATGGACAAATATACAAATACACATCAAATCATATCAATATTAATATACTGAGTGATTGACACACGATATTTGAATAAGCTGTGGATTTTATAGAATTACATACAATTGCAGCTGTTCACTATTTCTGTTGAACAACCTTACTCAGTAGCACCTGTGATAAGTCTTCTGATTGTCTCCAAAGCTCAAGTTGGCGCTTCGCGTAGCCTGGGACCAAGGGTGAAGCTGAATACTCTCCAAATCCAGCTCGTTGGAAGTCCAAGAAGAAACTGCTAGTAGAGCATAATTGGCCCAGTCTGGAAGCTGCATTCATAAGGAATCAACGGGAAACACCGTGCCTGGCACCTGGCAAAGGTAAAAAGCTGGGGCTTCTGCGCAAGGCGTCTCTGTGCCTTCGGCATGTCCGAAGTGTTGGCACTAGCCATGCCAAAAACGCCTGTAGCCATGCAAGGGACAAAGATGCATGGTTACCCTCCCCCAAAAAAAGAAGATAGCAACCCCCAAACCCGAAGAAGTCTCTCGCATCTCTCCCCACTTCCATGGAGTGCCACAATTTCTTAGCTACATCTACCACAGATCCTGAGACTAAAATCTGCACCCTGCTATGCTGCTATGCTCGTTTCCATGCTTTGCCTGTTCATCTTGCAGCTCCTTGAGCTGTAGCCGCGCCGCTTCGACCTCCTCCAGCGTGGCCCCAGCGCTCAAGGCCACCTGTGCCTTTCGGCGCCATGTATCATCGGCCGGCGCCATGTATCATCGGCCGGCGCCCGGGCGAGCCATAGGCTGGAAGACATGCACTGAGTGAAGACAAATAGACAGCATAGACTGCATCAACAGCCCTTTGCAATCCATCTGACTCTCTCTCTCTCCCTCTCTCTCTCTCTCCACAACAGCTCATGCTTGTTCGCTGGTTCATTCCTGCAAAAATGTCAGCACATCCGTTTTCTGTCAAAGCGTGGTCTTTTCCAGGCCTTTCAACGCCCTCCTGACTTTGCATGGAACCATGCGACGACCGACCCAACAAGGATCGGCGTCTCTCCACAGCTTCATCGTGGCATCATGCCACCACTCACGCCACCACGACGGCTTTGCTCTAAGGCTTCCTGCCGTCAAGCCCCAGGCGAAGCCCCAGTTGGGTGAAAGGCAAAAAGTTGTCATGTTGGCGATATGTTTCAGGTTCCTTATAAGCATAGTCTTTGCACTGTTAATTAAATGTTCAAACGTGGGGAGCTGGGTTTGATTCTCATCCTAGTTGAGATGACCACCGGCCTTTCTCAGCTTCACTTCCTCTGCCTCCTTCAAGTCGCGCTGCTTGACCCTCAGCCCCAAGCTCTCACTGTCGATCATGAATCAGCACTTTAGCAATACCAGGTCACATGCAAATCGGCATCTCAAAACACATTTTGAAGCAGTCTACTCGAGTCTACCAGGTTCATCCAGGTTCTACCATTTTCTGCCAAGAAACCATTCGGGTCTGGGCCTTTTCTTGGCTGCCTCGATGTCCACAGGCTCATCCTGCAATGTGTCAATTCTGATGGTTGGAGGATGTTGACAACAATGAACGCCTTGGGGTTTGGAAGGATGAAGGCTACGAGGAAGGAAGCAGCCTTGGTACCATGTGGATCTTCTAAGCTGCATGTTGGACTATCCTCATCGCGAGCAACTGTCGACTGTTGGACTTTCTCATCAACACACACACACATATATATATATATATGCATAATATATATATATATGCATAATATATATATATACACCACTCCCGGAAGTAAGAATGTACAGGAGATTTGGGGAGACTCTATCTCTTTAGTTCCTAAAATGTTCAACATACTTCAAGAACCCTAAAGTTTACGCTTCTTACTCTGTTCCAACATGACACTTGCGGTCTACAGCGGATCGGATTGACACGTCCATTTTGCCTGGCAGGTA